CCAGCAATCCCGCCCCATCCTCTTAGGCACGCCACTAGAGGATTTCTTTTAACATATTTTTTTTAAAGAGAGAGAAAATTACACACACACTTTTGAGAATCATGGGTGGGGGGAAATATATGGTGACAAAATTCTATACTATAAAGCAGGTAGTACGTTTTAGGACATTTATATTTTCATCAAATCATCGACATGTGATGGAAAATAGTTTTGTGTGGATCTGACCTGTGCGCGTGGGTTTCTAACCTTGGAGATCATTTCAAAGGTCCGGTGGGGGGAGAGGGGGGAGCTGATTCTTCCTCTCTGTGTAGAGCGCAGCTGGTAAATACATATTTCTAGGGCTGCTTAAAAGAAACAACGCATAAAGGTAGCACTGGGGACATTGAGCAGGAGGGGCTCCAGGGACCAGAGCTCTGACCCCGCTTTTGCCAGTGCCCGCTCTGCTGTGTCTCACCACATCTGCTGTGAAAACGAGCTGGTGGCAGCTGCCTGCTGCTCAAGAAGATGAGCATGAGAGAACAGGCCGCAGCTATGGAGGGAGCCTCGCATGGAGGGCTGGGCTCACACCCAGAGCATCCCATGGCCTCGGCCGGAGCTACAGACAGAGCAGGCCTCCGCATCCAGGGATGGCCCGCACCCGGCTGGACTGAGATGGGTGTCTGCACCTTCTTCGGGGCCCCTGTCATTTCATCATCTGGATGCTGTGCACCAGAAGGACCGTGGACAACACTCCACCTACAATGCAGCCCTTGCGTAACTGCAGGAAGACTATGGTAGTCTTTGCCTTTAGCCCTTTTCCTGCAAGATGCCTCTGCTTGTACTTCCTCACCCATACCTTCCAGACTCCCCTGTACTCTTATCAACACCCTTCTTAAAGCTCAATGCCCAGAACCAGAAATGGCCTACCACATGTTTCTAACAATAATAGGACCACAATTTACTCTGAGCCAGTTTTTCCTGTTGTGATGGGACTGGAGGAAGATCGATAAGACCCTGTGCAAGTCAGCGGGTACCAGAGGGAAAAAGAAAATACAAGTCTTGGGAACTGAAGGCAGCGCCTATGGCTGAGCGGATGGCTTTCATTTGTTGCCCAGAGCCTGCTCCGTCCTCCGAACTGCCTGAAAAGAAGCAGGATGTGACTGGTGTCATTCTCCGGATTGGAACGGCATGTCAGTGGTAAACGGAGAGTAGGCGTGTTTAAAGGTTGATCATTTCAGCTGCAGCAAAACTCCTACCAACTGCCAAGCACCAACTCCATGGAGCTAAGGAGGCCATTTCCCACTGAGCCATTCTTTTGTCAGCACCTGCTCTGATCACCGATGCTTGACTTCCCTGCCTGATTTTGCCATTGGTGCGGAGATCAGGAGTTCCGAAGGGAAAATTGGGGTTCGGGGGTCCTGGCTTCTCCACCTCCTGGCTGAGGTCGTTAGCGAATAAATTCTTAAGTTCTGTGGGGTTTTGTGTTCTCAGTCATAGATCTGACTCACAGCCCCCGCTTTACAAGGTGGCTTAAAGAAGAAACTGCACAGCCTCCGCCAGTTGCTCAGTAGTTACAGTGTCAGCCTGCAGACTGAAGGGTCTCGGGTTTGATTCCCATCCAGAGCGTATACCTTGGTTGCAGGCTCAATCTCTGGTCCAGGTCAGGGTGTGTGCAGGAGGCAACCAATCAATGTGTCTCTCTCACATTGATGTTTCTCCCTCTCTCTCTCTATCTCTCTCTCTGTCTCCTCACTTCTTTCCACTCTTTCTAAAAATAAATGGAAAAAATATCCTTGGATGAGGATTAACAACAAAATAATTTTTAAAAAATAATCTGCATATAAAAATGCTTTGCAAAGTGGAAAACATCCTAAAAATGTTAGATGTTATTTTAAATGGGGGAGACTTGAGAGAAAGGAAAGCTACCTTTTTGCCCAAACTAAAATCTGGAACAGGAATAGAGAGGAATGATTTGGGGTTGTGAATCATTTAATAGAAGTATTATTTGTGAAAAATTGGAAATACGTTCCTCAAAGCTTTGAATGGCACAGAGCAGTTTGCTTCTCCCGCCAGCTTTGCAGGGGGGCAGCTTTATATAGAAACACTAGTGTCCCCGTGCACAAATTTGTGTACATTGAAAGAAAGTTGATTAGAACATTTTAATATCACTGTTCTCCCTTTCTCTATAATAGAAGTTTCAACCAAATTCATCATCGACAATGACAGATCAAAACACATGCGTGCGATTGGTGCCAGCAAGAGTTTTATGTGTTATGTGCACGTGTGAATCAACTTAGCCTTTTATAGATATAGAATAAACTTGCTTAGTTAGACCTTCTTTCTGATTTAGCTAAACTTTTTCCAGCCCAGTGAAGCACCCCAGCTTCTCTTTCAGGTAATTGTCAGCAACACAACAGTAAATATCAACACAAAGCAGATTGTTTTTGTAGATCACTCAGGGAGAACAAAGGGTAAAATATTTAACTGCAGCAGTGTTTGACTATATTCTGCGCAGTGAGAAAACCTAAGGTCATTTTCAAGGTCCACTATTTCTTACTTCTCTTCAGTCAGGTCAAGTTTCTAAGCTTTCTAAATCTCTGTTGTCTTGCTAATGAAAAGACAATAGGATTCCACCAAGTCTCTTATATACCTACTCCAGGACATCTCTGAGGATCAATTGAGATGAGGCATGAAAAAATGCTTCACAGACATTTGGTTAAAGTGTAAAATATTTGCACCTGGCTATAAAGTAAGTTCTGAAGAAACTCCTAGGAGGCTAGGTGCTAGGGAGAGGAAGCTGGGCATTGCTATGTGACATCATTACTTGGCATCCACAGCCACCATTTCCAGGCTGGACTAGACTGTGATCCACATTTGATGCCATAGGGTCTCAGCTGCAATTTGGTGAGGTGTTGCTCTGGGGTAGTGGTCTCACTTGGATAAGTCAAGTGTTGCTTTGTCGGGGTCAGGTCCACAGTGCCATTTCTCTGTAAATAGCCAGTGCATGTCACGGCAGCTCCTGCATTGAGTGTCTTCCCCTTGGTGGTCAGTGCACATCATCGTGACCAGTCGGACAGTCAGACACTTAGTATATTAGCCTTTTCTATATATAGATGTCTGCTTTCAGTGGCTTCTCAATTTGGTCATTCCTCTGCTGTTCCTCAACCATCCTGAAGCCAGAACTGCTCACTAGCCTTCTCTCCTTCCTACCTGCTACAAATTTTCCCCAAGTGCTATTTCAAAGACAGGTTCCAAGTGAGTTGCTGGGAAGATAGGCATGAGCGAGACATGCCAATCTATGAGAGACAGACATTGCACTGAAGTGCCTGGCCTGCGTGGCCATCAGGGCAGCGAAGGAAAAGTGTGGGGTCCGGGAGAAGCCGTTAGACAGAGGCCTGCAGATCGTCTTGGTGCAGGTCGTGGCTCCGGAAGATGGGATGCTTTGCTCTCTCAATGATGAACCAATGTGTGCTCAGCCCTTTAACATTCACGAAGCACTTCTACTATTTTTTTTCCACCTGATCAGGCTCTCAGCCCTACAAAGCGTTAGCACCCTAATGTAGAAATCTAGAAACCAAGACTAAGGCATAGAAGTGATTATCCCAGGGCCAGCTGCTCCTGTCACTTATGGAACTTCTGACTCTAAACCCTAGGCTCCTTCCATCACACACGTTGGCTCATGGGTTTCTCACCCTTGGGAGGTGACATTTTGCAACATAGCTCTGGGAAAAGGGCAGCAGTGAAACCCTCCCTGGGTACTTTGATGTGGGTGGAGGTGTGATTTCTGATATGGATCACAGCCCAGTGTCAAGGGGAAGCCTACCCTAGAGAGGAAAAGACACCCTAACTGCTGGGTGTGCATCGCCACCTTTGTGGTCACCCATAAAACTGGAAACCCTCTCTGACCCCAAATATAGCCCCGTAGTCTTACCTGTGCCTAAGAGGAACATGTGTGACCAAATGCGAGTCGGAATGAGACACATAGAACCTCTGTCGGACTCTCAGAGATGTTATTGCTCAAACCGCACTGTTGATGGGCCCAGGTTTGCGGAGGGATTTCACATCTTAGCTACTATTTGTTGCACGCTTACTATGTCCCAGGACTTTGTGACAGCGGAAGCAGGCTCTAGTATGATCTCCATTTTGCAATGATGTGACTAATCCTCAGAGAGATGAAGTAACTTGCCCAAGGTCACACAGCTAGCAAGTTGAAAAGGCAGAATTTGAACCTGCTCTGACTCCGAACTCCATGCTCTCCAACACTCTGCCAGACTATGTCTCCAAAAACTGAAAATAAATTTCATAGCCACTTCCTGCACTTCCTTCTGGGCTTTCTAGTATTTAAATCCAAGAGACACAGCAGCACCCTTGGGACAGTTTTGAAAGGCTCTAGTACCCCTTCTCACACCCACCCGCAGACACCCCCTTCCCTCTGGGCTAAGGATGCCCACCCACCACATCCCTCTTCTTGAGGAGAGTTCACTGAAACTGAGAACTGAAGGATTCAATTCAGACAAACCTGCAGCCAAATTACACAAAGCCCAAGACTGCCTCCAGCCTTAGGTGCTTTTCTAGACTGGGGAGCTCTCCACTCCCCAGAGGGGTTTAGCTAGTCATTTTTCTCCCTTTTAAAGGGAAGGCTGATAATGCAAAGCTCTCACCCCAGCTACAGAATCTCAGTCAGGAAACTTCACTCTCTCTTTCTGTTCCTTTCTCTCCCCCCCCCCCTTCCTTCCTTCCTTCTTTCCTCCTCTTTTTTCTCCTCCTCCTTCTCCTTCTCTCTCTTGTCTCACACCACACATACACACACACACACACTCACACTTTCTCTCTCAAGCAATAAATAGCTATGGCTTGGGGGGAAATAGCAAACAGATTTTATTTTTTCATACCTTCCCATGTTTCCTGGCCAGCTCCAGGTGCCAGCGTATTGTTTTAACTCTGATGGGGATGAAGCATTGAGCTGTGAACAATTAAACGTAAACACCAGCCTCACTCCCATCCTCTTCTTTTCTTCTTAGGTGAAGGCAGCTTCCAAGTATGTGGATGTCCCTGTGAGTATACGCAAATTGTCTTTGTGGGTTTGGTTGTGTGTGTTTTTTTCTTTGTTTGTTTGCAGGGTTTTGTCTTGTTTTGCTTTGCTTCTATGAGAAGTTTGATGGTGCTGTTTTCGCGAGTTGCTGCTAAATTGTGTATTTTCCTGAACTGGATCACCAGAGGGGGGAGGCCAAGAACATTTCCTGGTAAAACCGTATCGGAGGGGAAGAAGGTACGGTTTCTTTCCTCAGGGATACGCATCCTAGCTGAGGGTAAACCCAGCTTACTACCGTTTTTGTTTTCTTTAGTTCCTCTGACATATGTTGCTCAAACCCCACTGTTGATGCACCTCCCCACTGCATGCACCCCTTAGAAATAGAATCATAACCTAGAAACGTGCATAGGATGCCGTATTTAAAAAATAAAAATAAATAAGTTCTGAATTTGTTCATTTTGGGGTCAGTTCTGCAATTGTTTTCGGGAAACCTGACCACACTGTGTATGATTAGTGCAGACCTCATTAATGAGGAGAGCTCTCAAAGTTCACAGCCAAAGCACTTGGAGGTGCCCAGGATTTACATTTAAATTGAGGTTAAGTGCGCACATGGAGGCTAGCGGGTGGGATTACCTGTGGGGAACGGGACACGCTGGTAGGCGGGCTCTCCTGCCGATTAGCAAAGCAAAATTGCGGAGACTTCAGTGTGTCCCAATGAAGAGGAAGGCAAGTGATTCTGCATTTCCGTGCCTAACAAAAGAGGGGGGAGTCTATTATAAAATATTAAATTTAGAGAGCTTATCTCAACAGCCACCAAGGGGCTCGTACTGAACGTTTCTCATTCTGAACGTGGTTAAGTGCCCTCCTTGTTCAAATACTTATTTGCTAAAATTTGTGTTTTTCTAAAGGGATTTATATTAACATTTAAATTCATTTCCCCAGGAAGTTGAGTGTGTAATGGTTTATTGGCTTATTCCTCACAGGGAGGCAGAAATGGAAAATTGGAGTGAATTTGGCATTAGCATGTATTTTGTTTGTTTAATGGAAGCATGTACAATCAATAATGATGCTTTGAATTTATATAATATTTCTCATCAAGGGACCTCAGACTCCTTCACATAGATAATCCTTACAGTGAGGGAGAGAAACGTTGAGCAATTTCTTTTCCCAAGCCCCAAACTCTAAACTTTCGGTTCACAGGGAGCAAACTATCCACATCCTCTGGGCCTGTTTCTCCATCCTTAAAACAGAGATAATAATACTCAAGACGCGGGTTTGCTGTGCAGATGAAATGGCACACTTGTGTGGAAGCCTGGGCACCACGCCTGGCCCTCATCAGACCTTTCAGCTGCGAGAGCAGGGCACGTGGGGGGGTGGGCGTGCGAGGCCCACAATCCAGTGCAGGAGCCTGGGAGTGGGGGCAGGACTGGCTGATGACATTAGCTCTGGCCTGCCATGGTCTTCAACAGTAATAGAAACTGGAATTGTAGGCTTATAACTCAAAGATCTGGTGGCTAAGATTTGTTTTCTGTCGCCTCAAAGAAGAGGGAAGATCACGCCAGTGAGGGTAGAACAGGTGAGGAGTGGGCAAGGTCCAAATACGCAGAGAAATGTGATCGGGCAATTGGTACAAACAACTCAAACTGGCATTTGGGGGAGGTCAGAAAAGTTCAAAATTGGCTGAGTCCTGTGGTTCAGGTTGATGGTAAAGTGGAGGGAAAAATGCACAGCAAAAGAGCCCTGCTCTGTAGTCAGCCAGTGTCCAGAGATGGGTTTATGCCACAGCGGAAGCCTCGCTGGGCTCTGGGGGAACAAAAGGAATTAGCCGAGTCTCCGCGCTCTAGGGAGGCTTTTGGGAAAGGAAGCAGCATGTGGCACACTTACCGATGACGGTGACAACGGAAGCCACACCTTTTAAAGCCCACTCTGTGCGGGCACCCTGCTAAGCACTTTACACTCAATCTTGACAGCAACCCCACTTTAATGGTGAGGAAACTGAGGCCTGGAGAGGCTCACTTCCGCAGGGTCCCAGCTGCTAAGTGGCGGAGCTGAGATCTCAGCCAGGGCTCTTCACACTGTGCCACCTGCCAGATGGTGGTAGTGAGTGGGCAGATGAACGTCTTTATTTGGTTAATTGAGTAATTGCTGTACTTTAGTATTGGAAAAACTAAAAATCATGACTTTACCAATTACTATGGCTTAGGAAAAAAAAAAAAGATAAACTTTAAAATTAAGTTGACTAAAGTGTGCTTTATAGCAAATACCATTATAGTGATATTGTAAATTATCATAATTTACAATATGATAAAATTAGTAACACTAATATTATAATAATTATATAGCAATAATAGTATAAGTAATGTGTTCATAAATAAACAATTTTAGAGAAAATAATAGTGGACAGAAGACAGATTCTACATGTACATTGTTTACATGTAGTAAATAATAGTAATCACTCACTTCTCAAAACCACACTGCGAGGGGTAATGTGTTCAGCCTGATCCACGCTGAGGAGAGGAGGGAGGGAGCCTCCTGGCACTGGCCCCCAAGAAAGAGCCCAACTGTGTGCATTTCTTCCCAACTCTGTCCTCCGTGAGGGCACATGAGCAGCAACAGCCCGGCCACAGAGAGAGTATTTACACCATGGGCACTGACGAGCACTACAATCCAGGGTCTGTTGTTTGTGTTGTTTTGTGTTGCCGTTTTGAAGAGCCAGTGAACCAGCACACCAGTGGCCATCGCCCGTGGAATCAACAGTCCCCAAACCAGAATGTGCAGCAGTCATACTTGGCAAGGATTTGGGTCTCACCTGGCTTTGTTTTTAAAGAGAAGTTTCTAGCCCCTTGTCTCCATAGATGCTGACTCAGTAGGTCTGGGGTGGAACCTGAAGGTCTCTTTCTCAAGCCCCCCATGTGATTCTGCTAGGCAGTCCAAGCTAGGGAGGCGGTGGGCTCCATCGGGGATTCTCCACCTTGCCTACATATTGGAAACACCTGGGGAGCTTTTTACACCCGTTAGTGCCACGTTGCTTGCCAAATTAAAACAATCTGGGGTGTGGGGTCTCGGCATCAGTGTTTTGAAAGCTCCCCAGGTTCTTGTCATCTGCAACCAGGCTTAACAACTATTGGAAAAAATCATCTTCCAGGTTGTTTCTAGCTCTGAAGACTGAGTTCCTTTGCGTGGCTCTCTGAGGTTGGCACGTGGTTCTCTGGTTTAGTTCTATGTGGGAATTAGTAGTTAGTTACCTTAGAGACTTGTCTCTTAATTATCCACATGAATGGAGAGAGGCATTATTGCCAGCCATTGAAAACGTGGCATAAATCCCAAAGCATCACTTTGTCTTAGACGAAGCGTTCGAACATGGTATCCATAGCAGGTTTGCCTTCCCAATTAGGGCTTGCTAAGGGTGCTGACAATCTGAATCTGTTTTCTCAAACTCAGAGGCATCCTGGCAGGAACAAACCCGGATTTAAATGCCTTTTTTTTTTTTCTAAGCCACAGAGTGGATCCTTCACAATGATATCTTCACCATGGTTAACTCAATGGATAGAGTTAACTATACTGAGATGAATGTATTTGTTGTTTATTTCATGCCCAAGCCATGTATACAATAAGCCCTGTAATTGTGGGGCATTAAAACCATTGCCTAGTGTTTTCCCCACTGTTTGTAGATAGCAATGTGGTATCAAGCCTAATTTCTCTAATAGCATCGGTTGTTTAGCCAAGAAAAATTTCCATCTATAATTACAAGTTAGCTTGTTTGTGTGTAAACAGTTTTTATTTTAACCATTTGGTTGGAAATCTACTTAAAATGCATTACACACCTCCCCTGCCTTTTCAAATAGGGAACTGGCCATGCTTCAGCGTCTCCTCCGTGTCAGAGGATCACGCTGGGACTGACTCCGGGGTGTAGGGTAGCTTGCCTCTCCCAGACCCCAGCAGGGGTGGCCCTATACGTGGGGAGCTACAGTCCGGCAGCCTTTTCCCCACACACAGGGCCCCAGGGAAAGCAGGAGCCCTCTATTATCAACACACCCCTTGCTGGCCCCCAATGGGATGGAAAGCAAACCCCTTGGTATTGGATGGAAAGCTGATTAGAAAGGAAGATGGTTGTGAGTGGGGGCCTGAGGACTCTATTAAAAAAAAAAAAAAAAAAAAAAAAAAAAAAAAAAAAAAAAAAAAAAAAAAAAGCCTATACATTGTCCTGTAGAGATTTTGTCGTTTTTATTTTGATGGTGGTTTCTCTGAGGCCCTTTCCCCCCCTCCGGGCTTGGTTCCAAAGTAGATTATAAAGGTAGGTAAGGCTATGAAATAATATAACATTTGGGGGCTCAATGTTTATATAGTAATATATGGCTTTTAAAGCACTTTAACATACTTTATTTTAGCTGATAATCATACTAATGTTCAAGGTAAGTAGGGAGCTTTTAATCCCATTTTACAGATGGTATAACTAAGGCCTGGAGAAATTGAAATGATTTTCACAAGTTTTCATTTGTGGGGGATCCAATAAAAAGCCAGGTACAGTAGGTCCTCATTTAATGTCATCAACAGGTTCTGGTAACTGTGACTTTAAGTAAAATGACAACAAAAAAAACCAATTTTGGCATGGCTAATGGATATAAACAAGAGTTCAGTTCCAGGGACATCTTGTCAACATTATAACAGAAAGACATAGAAGTGGAGGACCTGCCGCAGAGTGACTGAGAGCTTTGGGAAGGAGGTGGGAGGGACTTATTTATTCATGGATTTGTTCATTCCGCAAATATGTACCAAGCACCTACTGCGGGCCAGGCATCAATCTATGTGCTGAGGATACAGTGGAAAATAGAGCAAATAAAGTCTCTGTAGTCATGGATTTTATGTTCTAGTTATCCAAGACAGGCAAAGACAGGAACTATATCCATAGTACAATGTCAGATATTGGTGAGTGCTATGACAAAAAATTAAACACAGTCGAGAAATAGAGAATTATGGAGTTGTTGTTTTTTTTAACTACCTGGGGAGATGAATCATCTTGTGTAGGTTGTTTTTTTTTTAATCAAAGTTTTTTTTAATTTTTATTTTTTTAATATATTTTATTGATTTTTTTATAGAGAGGAAGGGAGAGGAATAGAGAGTCAGAAATATCGATGAAAGAGAAACATCCATCAGCTGCCTCCTGCACACACCCCACTGGGGATGTGCCCACAACCAGGGTACATGCCCTTGACCAGAATCAAACCTGGGATCCTTGAGTCTGCTGGCTGATGCTCTATCCACTGAGCCAAACTAGTCTCGGCATTAATCAAAGTTTTTAAAACTTAAATGCCCCTTTGAGGATAGCAAATGTGGTGAAAATACCAATTACTGTAGATGGCTGTTTCTATCATGGAAGGTCACTAACCGGTCTGCAGGCTTTGGCTTTGGCTTTGGCTTGCTCTCCTGTGGCTGCGTGTGTCCTGGAAAAGGCCATGTCTGCCACCAGCAGCACCAGGAAAAAATGGAAACAGTAATAATAAGCGTCTCAGGTCCCCCAGGTAGGGGTCCCTCTCCCCATGGAGACGCCTTTTGATGCTCCAAAGGGAGAGGAGGACAGAGGTGCCTTGAGAACGGAGAGCTCTCGCTTCCATCCCATTGGAGAACCCCTGCGGCTGCCCATCATAAAGCTGCCGCAATTACAGGCCCGTCACAGAGCCTGCTCAATCCGCTCCATGAAAATTGCTTGAAAGCCTAACGGTTGACTGCTGTGGCTTTGGGTTGTCTTCGTTGTTTTTCAAATTAATACCTTGTCATTGTTTCAGCAGGTGTTAAGAAATGTTACTAGCATCCCAGGGGCCAGGCATTGGCCCTTTGCTTGATAATTGTTTGCTTTGTATTTGAAAAATATACAGTCCTACTGTTTCCAAACCTTCCTCATTTTCACCCTGGAAATTACACAGAAGTGTTAACTAACTTCAATTTGCAGCGCTTGACAGTCCCGTCTTGTAGAGAAATGATACTTTGTGATCTAAGGTAAATCACAGTAATGAAAGCTAATCTTTTTAGTTATTAGCAAACATACATATCTGCTTTGGGAACTTAAGGGGTTTGTGGCAGCTCTCCTAATGACCCGTATTACAGCGTTCTAATAGGTGTCTTTGGAAATAACTTTGATTATGATATGTCAAGCAGTGTGCATTCTGAGTTTCTTTTTTTTTTTTTCTTATAATAAATCATTTCCTATATGGTAAGAACCACCTGCTTACCTTTCCAAAAAATCTAATTTATTTAAAAATCAAATCCTTCGCTCCTGCCTTTTTTCTTTCTTTTTTTTTTTTCTTTCTTTCTTTCTTTTTTTTTTTTTTTTCAATTCTTGGACTATAAACTGCACCCAGGAGTGAAGACAAATGGTTGAATGCCTCCTGAGTACACTGATGAGGAAATACTACATACTCCGGTTAAATTACCCCCAAAATGTGACTTGGACAGGTGGAAGGGGTATAGATCAAAGTCTGATTTCTTTACTTAGCACTTCCTTAATGTTTCCAAAGGAAAGGGGGCCAGGGAAGCTGTCACCTTTCTGATGTTACAGTAAGGAGAGACCATGGAAGACAGAGTACCTGTGGGTATTTTTTAAAGGAGAAGAGGGTTCAAGCCAAAGAAAAGCCAAGTAATGTCTCTGGGTGACCCAGTGAATGCTGATTCCTTAGAAGATCTTTGCCAGAAGAAAAATTAATAGTAGAAAAATATGTATAAAACCCTGTAATCCCGACTCCCTTCTTAGCCAGGTTTGATTTCCAACAAGTGCAGAAGGCTCCAATGCCCATTCTGACCAGTCCGTGCTGGGAACAGCTGTGACATACACCACGGACAGCATAGAACTCCTGCCAGGGGGGGGGAGGAACCTGCAGGGGTGAATTCCCTTCTCATGTTTTCCTGTTTCTTTGCAGAAACCCGGGATGGACGTGGCCGATGCCTACGTGACTTTCGTCCGCCACTCTCAGGATGTCCTCCGTGATAAGGTCAATGAGGAGATGTACATAGAAAGGTTATTTGATGTAAGTAGATGCCTCCTCCTCCTTGCAGACCAAGGAGGAGACCCTCCAAAATGTGACAAAATAAGAGACAGGAGGATAAGTCACATTTTGAGAAACATGGATTGGTCCCAACTCAAACAAAATCTTCTCCTCTCCCTCCGCCTCAGGCTCGTATCTGTCGTGTGTCTGTTCAGAGGCCACCTGGTGTGGCGCGTCTCAGCCCCGATCTGTGTGACACGCAGCCTCTCGGCACGCAGGCTCCGTCCTGCGGGACGCTTGGGGGCAGCTTTCTCTGACTGGCAGAGACCTTTCCCGGTCGTGGCTCTCTTCCTTGCAATCTGGCCTTGCTTTAGGGGATAGTCTCCTGGGGAGGCTGAGCCAGCTCCCCTCGGGTTGGGGGGGGCGGGGGGGGGGGCCGGACCCTCCCGGATACCAGCTGTGGCGTGCAGATGTGCATTGTTACCACTTCCAAAAGGATTCTGTTCCTGGGAGACCAGAGATCCTCCCTTAGCCCTGGGTTTTGGCAGACACGTTAGAGCTGCTCGGTCAGTTGCCATTCTAAGCCCACCCTCCCCCTGGAAAATCTGGGACCAAGTGCACGCCCATCAGGCTGCAGACCCAAACTGAACTTCAGGCACACAGATCTCCCACGGCTCACGGTGGCCTCTCTCCTACTGCGCTCCCAGAGCCAGCCACTGCGCCAAGAGGTTTAAAAGGGAATCTGCTTTGGTCTCAAATCGCCCACCTCTCTCGGGCCAAAGCAGGCGGGACGGGGCTCTCTGATGAAGCCAGATATGTTGCTTCCAGCTTCCACCGAATTTGCCAGTGTAGACCCGGCCAGAGTGCAGGGACGCAGACGCCCTTGTCTCGTGTGGCTCTCTCTCACGGTGCCGCCTCCTTCTGTCTCGTGCAGCGTGCGCTCCTCCTGTCCAGGTTCCTGTTCCCTCGGTGCCAGCAGCCCGAACATTAATGTTGGGTCTACAATGGGATCCGTGTTTCTGTATTTTCTTGTGACTGTGTTCCGTTTGCATTGCGTTCGCGTGTATGTGTGTTTTTGTTCCGCGGCGCGGTGAGCTCATTGTTGGCACCGCTGAGGGTACGGCAGCTCCTGACTTGTATCTGCCTTGTCTTCCAGCTCATTTGCTTTCCTCATGCGCTGAAAAGGCCCCTTTCTTTCTTTTCTTTCTTCTTTTTTTTTTTTTTTTTTTTTTTTTTCTTTCCCGGTCACCCGCTTTCTGTGCTCAGTATTGCTCCTTCCTCCTCCGCACCTCCTTTCTCCGAGAAACCCTTCTTCCTTCTAATTCCCACCCGTCCATCCCCCTCTCTCGGGTTAAAATGGAACTTATCTCTCATGTCAACTGTTTTATCACATTACGCCAAATGGCATGGATCAGAATCAAATAATCTTCCTGTGTACATCTTCTAGCATGACCCGCACCCACTGAGAATGCCTCCTGCCTGCCCCGAGCTCTGGGCGGGGCAGGCCCTCCCCCGCCTGCATGCGGCCTTGATGACAGTCCCGAGCCCAGAATGCCCGGGGGGACGGTCACCTACCCCATAGGCATTGAAAACGGCCAGGCAGCAGCACCCTGGGGTCTCCACTGAACTAAATTCCAAAACACCCATTTTCCAGAAGCCTGTGGATTGTTCTTTTCAATGCCTAGGTTGCCTTTTCCCCCCTTTGATCAGTATCTTCTGACTCTCAGTTTTGTGTGGCCTCTGCGTGCGTGTGCCTGTGTGAGCGTGTGCGCGAACAACCTCATGCTCTCAAAAAGTTTAAAACAGCGGGCACTGAATTGGACTTGAATCTGCAATTGCGCCTGCCCCTCCATTAACAAATAGCCCATGCTGTCCTCTTTGGTTTATTTATTTATTTATTTATTTTTAAATTAGAAGGGCAAGGGGCCATTTGTTTAAGGTAGCCCTCTCGAAGGCAGCCGGGCAAATTGTCCTCTTCTGTGACCTTTTTCAAGGGAACGTGCAGCTGAATTATTTGCAAAGTAAAGAGTCCAGGCGTGGCTCGCACAGATGGCAAAAGCAGACTCGTCCGACTAACCGAAGAAGGCAGGCAAACTCAAGCCCTCGGGCCTTTCGTGTGAATTAATAATGAAAAGGAAAAGGAGTAATGAAAAAACAAAAATGAATATGTTTTTCAGGAAGCAAGTTATGCTTAAGGGGATGCAAAAATTCACAAACATCCCTGTCCCCTGTTGAATTACACACTGACCAGCACAGACCGGCCTCAGCCACATGGTGAGATCCCCCACCATTCAGTCTTGGATTGTGCCGGCTGTGTTTTCCTGAGAGTGTCTTAGGATCGGGTTTTCCAGACTTCAGCATTACAGCCATTCCTTGAGCATCGGTGGCTTGTTTAGAGATCAATCCCTTTGCCATTGGCTTCCTTGCTTTTCAAATAACCTGCTCCCCTCGCTCCCAAGACCTTGGCACCGGGCAGCCTCGCTGAGGAAGCGCAGAAAAGTTACTGACTCTGTTGTGGATTTGAAACATTTGTCGTTTGAAACACCCAGAGTTGCACAAGAAGCTTCATTACCATGCCGTCTCGGTAATTGAATTCAGTCCTTACTGTTTTTTCTGTAATCTCGCAGCAAAACATCAGATTACCAACATGTCTGATTATTTTCGGCTTCTGTTTCCTCAAGCATGGTGTTTATTCCTTTGCCTCTCTGCTATGCTGAAGGGCCCACCGAGCTGGACAAGGGGACAAGGATAGGAAGGCAGAGGTCTGGGACCCCCGCCACCCTCCACTTCCTGCAGCCGTGGCCCGGCCTTTCCCCGCTTTCCTCTAGGACAGGGGTCCCGGGGCAGGCGCCTAAACAATTGGCAGAAATCTATCGAGATAAGCATCGATCTGAGAGGCTTCTCTTCCAAATCGTTGCCTTTTGACAAATGGCAAAAATGAATAATAGAAAATTAGCATTTTGAACGAGGGGAAGAATCTATATCTCTGGGGTTGTTTGCTGCTTGGGGGCTGTTTGTTCTGACTGTGGTGGCATTCTCTGGTGGCTAGCTCCTGCTGGCATCTGTCATTTCCAGGCCCATTCTCAGGGATCCTGTGGAGTTTTAGCCGTGGTTCTCAGTCTTGGTTTTATTTATCTGATAAGTCCTTTGCGTTCTTGCTATTTAGTATGATCCCCCTTTCTGTCATTTTAGGAGTGCGTTGTAGGGAAGGCTGGGTGGCATTCGTGTGGGTCCCTATCTGAGAATATGTGGACTAAAAGCTGGTCATTGAATGCGTGTATCTTCCGTGTCAGCCAGGCCTACATTTCACTGCTCTCTCGGAGCTGGTTTTTCTCTGCCTCGTCATGTTCTTTTGGCTGGAATTGGGTGCTTGTGGGGGATTATCGGCATAGCATTTGGGGCTCTATATTTGATGTTCCGCGTTTTTATCTATTTTATTATGTAACGTAAGAACAGCTTTCTAAATTCATCTTCACCGATTTAAAAAAAAAAAAAAAAAAAAAAAAAAACAGGCATTCTCTAGATTTATTGGAGAAATATGTTCAGACATAACGTTGCCTAACCAGGGCTTTTAACACCGTGAAAGATTGCCTGGGTGTTAATATAATTGACTTACGGAGGCCTATAAAATACCATTAACTTCTTTGGTAATGCCCCTAACTGGTCCAAAATTAAGTGCTGATTGGAAAAGAGCCTTCATACGGCTTCCCATAGTATTTCAGATATGTAGCTGTACATTTTTATCTGTGTTTTGTCTTTTTTTTCTTTCTCTCTCTAAAAAAATGATATGCAATTGGAAACTGGTTTCGGTTACTGCAAAGTAACAGTTTACAGAATTTTGAAACAAAGGCAAGAGAATGTGTACAATAGCAATGAATTTAAATTATATTAAAGATACTGACTTTTTAAAAGAGAATCAGATTGCTGTCAGACTCAAGTGGAAGCCTGGCCTCCTTGAATATTATTGCTGACTTTTAAAGAAAATATAAAACATGAATACGAAATAATCTCCATCTTCCTAACACAGCAAACGAGAAGGCTTGCACAGCCCAAGAAATAAGTCAGAGGCGGCGATTTAAAAGCTCGAGTGTCCATAAATCATGCAGATGGCTCTCCCCCTCCTCTGGTGATTAATTCAACATCTTCCCCAGAACAGGAACACGCTTTTTGAAATTAAGAGATCAGATCATCAAGAGAAGCACCTAAGATTTCAAGGTCTAAACAGAAATTAATTTCTTTCCTTTCCTCCTTGTACTTCTTGAAGACACAAACTGAGGAGAAAATCAGGATTAAAAGAGATTTTAATGCTTAGGGCGAATTCATCTGCTTAAACCTCCCAGGCTAGGAGACGAGTGATTAAAAGCCACCCGCACTTGGACGGGGTCCACACTGGGTAGCCCGCACCCACCCTGGCTGGAGCACCAGGCTGGGAACAGTTGCCTGGAGATGATATGTGGATTATATAGGTCAATTATACGCTTAATCTGCCTTCTGGAGGATTAGGTCTCCGCAGATTGACTCTGCCTTGGGCTTTTCAGTGGAGGTTGTCAGATCCAGATCAGGGAGGGGCAGTTTCAGGCGGGCCCCTGGTCCTTTGCCTTGAGCAGATTTCCACTGGCCCTTCCGTTTTCAAATCTAGATGCGTCCACGTCCACTTTAGGTGTTGGCACAATTATTGCGTGTGACTATCTCCCTTGAAAGGGGCAATTTGAAAAATGAAACCTCTTCCTGTTAAGATATACAGGGTGGGCCAAAAGGAGGCTTATCCTTGCAAGTACCCCAAACAGAGTTCATTCTTGTATTATTATGTAGTAATTATTGTATCATTTTCCAGCCTACCAACTATAAACCTACTTTTGCCCCCCCCCCCGGATTTGCTGTATTCACGTGTAAAGCACAGATGACCTTGTTTTAATAACCTTATTGAATCACAGACGTGCTCTTCGTGTGCACATACCAGCCAGAGCAGGAGTCAGTCTGCTTGAGGGATGGGGTACAGAGGAACGGGCCTCAAGGAGAACGTGCTGTTATGTAAAATCTGT